ATGGCCAAAATGTCAATATTGAATGTAAAAATATATTTTTGATCTTCCCAAAATGTAATGTCATGAGACAGTGAGTGTCATCAGAACAAATTTTGAAAGATATTTTTTAAGATGGACCCAGAATAATACTAAATAATCTTTTATAGTTATGTATATACAAAATTGTTTAGTCTTTTTAGGGCCTTCTTATGCAGGGCCCAATTCTTTTCCTAATGATTATTATTATTATTATTCTTATTGGGTTTTTTTTAAGTTTCAGGGATTTTTGTTTCCGCTACCAAGATATGATGGTTTAAGTGGTGGAATTTGAATCCACTGGTGCCTTTTTCATTTGTTTTCCTTTAAGCATCCAAAGGACTTGGTGGCCAATAAATAGAAACAGGATGAAACTACTTTTTTAAAACAATTAACAAATATAAAAAAAAATAAAATTCTAGCCATAATATCATTTTTATGTTTCATTGACTAAAATAAATAAATAAAGGAGGAGCCGTTTCTGTGCATGGATGTTCTTTCTCCATATTTCGCCTACACTGACTCTAAAAAGAAGATTATGGGAAAAGCAGATCTCATTAATATTCATTAACTCATTACCCTAGCTCTTCTTAGTTAAAATATTATTTAAGATATCAGTAATTCTATTTTCACTATTTGCATGGGTAATTTCTGATATCAACTGCCTTTGTTGATATAAATAATTACTTTGATACTATTAAAAATGTGAATTCCTGATATCAAGAATTCAATTGTTATGATGAAACTGGCAAATCAGAGATGCAGGATGCTAGTATTTATTTATTTAAGAATTATCCCTTTAATGTCTTCATTAAGACATAACTAACATGCTGCATGATGTTGCTTTAATTGATCTAAACCCAAATACTGAGTGGTCATTCAAAATATATACTTACAAAGCCAAAGACGCTCTCGAGATGTGGCTCTTAAAAGAGCCTTTGTGGTGTATGTAGCTGCTGTAGACACAAGCAAAAGAGAGAGACGAAGAAGAAGAACAAATATGAGTGAGATATGTCTGTACAAATTAAAATGTTTTCAGTTTCATCAGTGGTGATGCATTATTGATTAATTAGCATGTTATGATGAATCTGGCAAATATGAAATGCCGGTTGACTGCTACTATTTTCACCTACAACAATCAGACGGCAATCGACACTGGAAAAAAGAGAGAAGATAATAATTATTTTCATGGTAGTCTATAAATTCCCAAAGTTTATAAAGGCTCTGATGAGTATGTGTAATATTATCTGATAATGCAAGATGAGAAGAAGAATGCAGAGCAGTTTATTTGATGAGACCTTACAGACCACTAACAAATAAGCCAAAGTTAAATGTATTTTCATTCTTGAGAATCGCAACAACAACAAGTATTATTATGATTGTTACAAAATGAGGGATTTAATCTAATCTCTCTCTAGGTGCACGCGCCATTCCATACTACTTTCCATACAAATATGAATAATGGAGATATTATTAAGAATAATTGTATAATTGGTCTCTTTTTAAGTAACGTTAACATGACAGATAACTCTGAAACGAAAGAGCGTCTCTCAAACGGACCGGATTGGCGCCATTAGCAGTGACGTCACGGCGATGTAACGGCATTTACCGGTGTTTAGCGGCGCTGCTGAACGGACTAACGTTATATAAAAAGACGGAAAATCGTTGTCTGTGTGAGATGTGATACATTTACCGGAAAAGACCAATTGAGAAAAGTCCAATTTTTATTACAATTTAATTAGTTTCATGAGTGAAAATGCCTGCTATTTATTTTAGTATTATAACCCTCAGAAAAACTAACTGTTCCCTCAGACTGTTTTTATTATAATGACTTATTATAATTAAATTGAATTACTTTCTTTCTTCATAGTTTTCAATGTCATTTACTTTTGTTGTCCAAGTAAAGTAATTTAAGTAAAAAGTAATGTACCTGAGGAAAACGCACTGCTGGGGATGTCACTCAAAGGGGAGTCAGGCTGTGCGCGCGGTGGCCACAGACCCCGGCTTATATATGCCCGCTGCCCGGTTTCGCAGGCTTGGCACGCCAGTAATAATTTAAGTATTGAGATAAACGTTTATTTATTAAATTTTTTTTTTTAAATGTATGTTCAATTATATAATGACACACTGCGTTAACTTGGCATTAAACGTCAAAAAACATAGGCTTTTCAAATAGTGTGGTGTTTGTGTTTTCCTACTAAATTCAAAGCAATGGTGTTACCAAAAATATAAGTAATATTTTTTTTACTATCTTTTCCTCCCAGTTTGAGAGTCCCTCTTTGTTTAATATAATTGAGCAACCCCATAGGTGGCGATGTACGCACGCGAGTCGCCAATAAGCCAACGTACACTCTTAAAAATAAAGGTGCTTCAAACGGTTCTTCAAGCGATGCCATAGAAGAACCATTCAGTGAAAGGTTCTTTAAAGAACCGTCTCTTTCTTACCTTTTTATAATCTGAAGAACCGTCTTTCGCCACAAAAAAGCTTTTGTGAAACAGAAAGGTTCTTCAGATGTTAAAGGTTCTTTATGGAACCATTTAGACAAAAAGGTTCTTCTATGGCATCACGAAGCACCTTTATTTTTAAGAGTGTATGAAGAAGCAGCTGAACGAGTCTCCTCACTGCGTACGATGTGTATGTGATACGCTGATGATTGAGAGGTAAGCATAATATGATAGGTGGAAATGTATGGTTTTATGATAGTATGTTTGTCGTTGGTGGGATTGTTGTAACATTTTAAAAAGTGAACTAATTTTAAACCGTTTTACCCGACCATATGTTGCAATAGCCTATGTTAAGTTAGCAACAGACAGCATTTGATCCCAAATCAACTCGGATACACGTAAATGCATAGCAAAATTCTTAATTGCAATTCCAAACCCATGTGACCTAAAGACATCAAAGCATGTGCAAATTATTAAGAAAGTTATTCACTAAGCCTTGTGCTATATAGAGGATATTATTCATAATAATACTAATATTTATTGCCTTTTGCTATGAAAGGGACATTTTCTTGAATATTTCTTAATAAAGACATTAAGACGATTCTTTAAAAATAAATAAAAACTAGCATCCTGCATCTCTGATTTGCCAGATTCATCATAACATGCATATAAATAAAAAGACGCTCTCAAGATATAACTCTTTAAAGAGCCTTTGTGTGTGATAATGTCATATAGTTATACATTGCTTTGAGTTATAGGGATTAAACTCATAAACTAATTTGACTAGTGACTTTACCATTTGTTTTTTAATGTTTATTTACAGTGCAATTTATTCGGTTTACCTGACTCGTGCAGAATTCTGTCCTGATGTTCGCCTGTGGTCCCTCCATCATCCACTCTTCAGCAACCGGTCTTTGTATGGAGACCACCATGATCTATACAGATCTAGTTGTCTCTTCTCCCACTAACTCCACTTTCAGGTATGTTTTTTCTTTGTTGTTGTTTCAACAATGTTGACTGTATTTTTGTATGCCAAAACCTAGGGGTGCACGATATTGAAGAAAATTGCATTATACGATTGCGATAACTTGTTAAATAATTCAATATTTGATATGCAATTCAATAATGCTTAAAGTGTGTAAAATAAACTTAAATTATATGTAGGTATATTTAAAATCTGAAAACTCTATGACTCACATTCTTTTTGTGAGAAGAAAGCATGCCCAAAACTTCTGAACATTCTGTAGCATTACTTAAAACGTGCCATTTTAACAGAAGTGTAAACCAGGGGGTTTAGGGTTTCAGGTAGGCCCAGATTAGGTTTAACAGCAGAAACTAACTAATCAAATGTAAAAATTCAACACTGCTTCACTATATGAATTAAATGCACACTGATTCTTATTAAAGATATCTACAAAAGATATTCAGTCATGAGCAGTGAGAGATTTTCTCTTTGTCTTCTGTTGTTTGGTTCATATTAAGCACAAAGAAGGAAACAGGTTTATTTAGTTGCTGTAACTTTTAAGTGCTGCAATATTTTGTTACACGCACACTTTCTGAACAGTTTGGTCCACTTAACCGACGTAACCAACTGTGTTTACGTGAATACTCACCAAGACAAGAATTTTGACATAATTTTGGGTAGGACTGCACAATATATAAAAAATTGCAAATGTACATTACAACTGCATTACTTTAATGCTTCAAAAGATTACAAAAAGCTAAAAAAAAAAAAGATTTAGGTTGAATCATACAGCAGAGAGTAGATTACATACGTGTGACACGCTTTATGTTATTAATGCAAAAGTTATAAATAAAAATTTAAGAAAGAGACCCTACGTGTAACAATATTTTGGATCCGTGCAGCTCTTAAAATGACAGCAGTCTGTTAAACCTGCTTCTATCTGTGTGCTTAAAGGGATAGTTCCCAAAAATGAAAATTAGCCTATTATTTACTCACCCTCAAGGCATCCTAGGCGTATATGACTTTCTTCTTTCAGATGAATCCAATCGGAGTTATATAAAAAATTGTCTTTGATCTTCCAAGCTGTTTAATGGCAGTCAGCGGGTGTTGCATGCATCAGTCCAAAAGAAATGAAATAAAGCGCATCCATCCATAATAATAAACGTGCCTCACACGGCTCCAGGGGGTGAACAAAGGCTGTGTTGTAGTGCTCCTGTAGTGAATCGATGCGTTTTTGTAAGAAAAATATCCATATTCAAAACGTAATAATCAATTTAATCTAGCTTGCGCTCACTGTTGTACATGGAAGCAGCTCTGGGAGGATGACATAAGATGTCGGGGTTGTGCATTAATATAAATATTCTTACAATCTGATTTTTTCACATTTGGATTCCCCATCTTAATAGAAAATGCAGTACTCACACACTGTCTGAGAAGCATCTAACTGCTTGTATACTTTGGGTTTGTCAGACAGGATAAGTACTGCATTGAGTTCTTTGTCAAGGCTTATTACACTTAACTTCAGTTCAGATATGTATTCAAATCCATGCATTGTTTTTAAATTGCTCTAACATGTCAATAACTTTAAGTACTCCTGTGCTGCATTGGATATTTACATACCACTATAAAAACAATACAGCAATAAAATCTTTGAGTAGACACTCTTATTGTCACCACAATATATATTTCAAACCACCCAACCCTAAAATAACTTTTATGTGTCAATCTTTATCAGGGTCCGGTGACAACTAGAGGGTGTCGACAGACTTCCATTGAGGACCATTAGACCACTTGAGAAGAATGACCTCGTATGACCAAGCTTTAATGTTGTAAAGCAGATTTTGAGCTGATCTCCTTCATTCTGCCGCCAGCTCACCACAACCCCTGGGTGCACCAGCTGTGGAAATTACGGGCCAAACTTTGGGTGAGGACCTTTCTCCCACTTTCCACCACCAAACCTCTTCCTACATGTAAACATTGTTTAGCGCACTATTGTCTATATTTGACTGGTTCATTTTTTTTAGGTTGCAACCATTGATTCTTTTAATAATCAAGTGATGTTTTAGAATAATTGGATAAAATGCCACATTTTATTTTCTTTATATATTAAAAAGGCAAGTTATTCCACACCATTTCCAGTCGTCTTCAAAGAATGCAAATTCAAGAACAAATTGTTTGGAATGTAGTATATGCATTACACCATGAAAAAATGAATTACAAATTATAAAATAAAGTTTGTCCAGAGTTGAAAAGCAGAAGCCAGTTTAACCCAATTAATTATAAAAAGAGTAGACACTCTTATTGTCACCACAATATATATTTCATACCACCCAACCCTAAAATAACTTTTATGTGTCAATCTTTATCAGGGTCCGGTGACAACTAGAGGGTGTCGACAGACTTCCATTGAGGACCATTAGACCACTTGAGAAGAATGACCTCGTATGACCAAGCATTAATGTTGTAAAGCAGATTTTGAGCTGATCTCCTTCATTCTGCCGCCAGCTCACCACAACCCCTGGGTGCACCAGCTGTGGAAATTACGGGCCAAACTTTGGGTGAGGACCTTTCTCCCACTTTCCACCACCAAACCTCTTCCTACATGTAAACATTGTTTAGCGCACTATTGTCTATATTTGACTGGTTCATTTTTTTTAGGTTGCAACCATTGATTCTTTTAATAATCAAGTGATGTTTTAGAATAATTGGATAAAATGCCACATTTTATTTTCTTTATATATTAAAAAGGCAAGTTATTCCACACCATTTCCAGTCGTCTTCAAAGAATGCAAATTCAAGAACAAATTGTTTGGAATGTAGTATATGCATTACACCATGAAAAAATGAATTACAAATTATAAAATAAAGTTTGTCCAGAGTTGAAAAGCAGAAGCCAGTTTAACCCAATTAATTATAAAAAAAAGAAAAACAAAAGGACAAACTGTTATGACTCATAGGTAGGCTATGTTCACACTGTCACTAGGCGCGTTTCCATTACCCTTCAAATTGCGCAAATTGAAATTGCGAATTGAAAATACGCCTAATGGAAACGCGTCAATTTCGCAAAAACGCCCATATATCGCAAAAAAGTTTTTACACTCGCATGAGGTGGTTTTTCAGGCAATGCGAAAAAGGAATAATTCGCAAAACTGCAATGGAAACGGCTTTTTCACATTTACAGGTCACATGGCGTATGTAAAAAGTCACATGATCATTATTCAATGTACTATAACCTCCAAGAAACACTTCATAAGTGGCCGCGCTCCGGTATAAGGGGCTTTCCCTACTATTAATACTTAGACCGTTTACATTGCACACGTCTGCGGTGCAGTGTGGCTCTGATACGGCCACTGAAGCTGATTACGGCCACTCACTGCTTGTGTTTATGTTTTTATACAGTCTATGGTTTATTCCAGCCGCGCCACGCACGTTTCTGAAGCGGCTCTCTTTGCTGCTTCTGTAAAGATACATACATACGCCTCCTTTGAATAAATATAGCCAAAATCCGTCAAAATCCCGCCAAAATCCGTTGCCATGACTTATCGCGAGAGGCAAAAGGTTACGTTTAAGTCTCATAACATTGGTTAATGGAAACGCCGTCATTTCGCAATACTTTTTTATCGACAGTTATAAAATATCGTCAAGCAGTGTTCTATTTGTGATTATTTCCTCTAATTAAAGCCAAGTAGTACAGTAAAGTATTATCAAAGATGGCGACATCCATACAACTAAAAGTCTTATCACAATTAACACGACAAGAGTCCAGTCGAGGCATGGCTTCATCTGTTAAATCTGAACCAGCAGCAGCTTTTATAACTGGAGTAGATAGGATTATCTGAGTCACACACAGAGCACAAAACTCTGAAAGTAGCAGAGAAAGTGCTTCAATAAACAAATATTGTTGACAGATGCGTGTGGACTCGAGTCATGTTTCTCCAGAGCACAACTTACATTTGATGGTTGTGTCCTTGTCTAATTTTGGAAATAATTGAAGAGAATAGGAGTCATGTTTATATTTTAACCCTTTTTTGCGAATGTGTAGCACAAGCTACATAAATACATTCACTATATTTGTTTTCTTTGACTTCAGTTTTCACATTGTTTGGAGGACAAAATTGGGCAGGATGTAGGGGCCCACGGTTTGGGCACGCATACACAGGCCAGCTTTGGGTTAGTTGCTCTGTGCTGTTTAATGTATGGTTGTTGGAACGTTGTTCTGTTTTATTAATTACTGTCAGCCTTCACAGCAATGCTGCTAAATGAGCAATTATCTCTATCAAACCATCAAACATGGACCTTAAAGGGATGGTTCGCCCAAAAACTTTATTCAAATAAATATTGTGACAATCTGATTTCAGTGGCACAGCTGTGTAGTATCTAGTACAGAGATTGTTGACCGTATTGTGTGCATGTTGCTGCATTGTACATGGTGTTCACTGCACAATATTGTATTATTGTTTACACCTTCAGTAACTTCTCCACCAGACACCCTAGGACAACATCCTAAGATGCACCGATCTACCTATAGCCCTCCATCCTTCCCACACCCATCTTGCAACAAAGTTTCATTAAGTGCAGTCCATAACCAGTGTCTGCCATGCACGGTCTGCACCTTGTCCATTGCAGATGTTATGGATTAATCTATTAGAGATCTTTATATTCTTTATTTGAGACTGTTATTATGTAGAGACTGTTATGTTGTGAATAAAGTCAACCCACCCCCTACATCGATGCTTTCAGCAGTTAATACATTAAAGTGTGTCCCTAATGTTTTATTATCTAAAGATCGTTTTAAAGTTTATTACAGGCTCAGTGAATTTTCTTTCACTAAAAAATTAAGTGTAATATAAACTGTCATGATCAAGTCTGGGGCGTTTGTCAGTGTCATTAATTTTGTGAGGCAATATGAATCAAATGAACATTTGTGTAGTGTTTCATCCAAAGGCTTCTTCCTCATTCAGTTAAACATCACAGGTAAAATTACAGTTCGCTTAAAACGAGGATCAGTTCAACTGGCCTGGCATTTTTTGCATGTATTGTCTACAAGCAAACAAAGGGATAGATGGACAAAAACAGATTTAAAGGCTGGTTGCGCATGATGGGTTCCAAAGAGTGTTCCAGTGTGTGTTTGTTGGTGTATTTGTATTTTATTATAAAATACATGTGTCTAGTTGATGCGATGCAACGCAACAAAAGAATAAAAGCCATTATAATCACTGAAAGCGGCGCGGCTCCACAAATCCCCGTCAGTAAAATGATTCCTCGTTCTATTTCTGGCGTAATCCAAGCTCTTTGCACCAACAGTCGCGTCTGGTGTGATATGCTGTTGTGTTAAAAACTCGAGTTTTACTCATTCATCAGCTTGCTCCGATCCGGCGCTGCGTGGTAGCACATAATTTCAAATGTTGAAGATTCATCGTATAGACGTCATATAGAGGTAAAGAAGACGGCTCATTAACAACTGAAAACGTTCGATCGATTGCGATGTTTACCAGATGCTACGTTCTCTCACAGACGTCTCCGCGACGTACCTGTGCTATCTGGGAAAGTCTCAAAACCAAAGAGATATTCTTTATCAAAGTTGAGACTCTGCCACGCCCCCCTAAAACGGCTCGTTCTAACACGCCCCCACGTATCTACCTCACTATGTGGAAATATTTGCATAATGCCGCCCAAATGTTCACGCAAAGAAAGAAGGCGTGGTTTCAGTAACCGCAGTTAGTGTTGAAGCAGCATGTCAGGGAGACGCTGTGTGTTTCTAGGCGAAATCAAAAGCACTTTATTTGGCCTTCCGAATGAGTGCACTTCTTAGCATGCGCTAAGCTGACCTCATACGTCATGCTCCCGTGTGAGTACAACAGTGAGCGCAAGCTAGATTCAGGTGGTTATTACGTTTTGAATATGGATATTTTTCTTACAAAAACGCATCGATTCGCTACACCACTGTAATCGCCTTTGTTCACCCCCCGGAGTAGTGATGGGAAGTTCGGATCATTTTACCGACTCGGACCTTTGAGTCTCGTTCAGAAAAATGAACAAATCTTTTTTCGAGTCATTTCGTTCATTTTAGCAAAATACAATTAAAATGTTACGTGTTACTTCCCTAACACGTCTAACGCAAACGTTGATCACACTACAAACAATACAAAACTGCTATAAGAAACAGGAAAGATTAATTCGTTGTTTACCTGGGTCTTCAGTCTATGATTAGCTCACCTCACCTCTTATCTGACAAGTCTTCGGATTTTTACGAGTCGTTCGTTCATCACGTGACAGCCCCATAAATTTAACCAATGCAGTCTGAGCCGGAAAGAGAATTGATTAGTTAATCTCTCGAGTCTTCGGGTTTTCCGAGTCGTTCGTTCATCACGTGACAGCCCCATATGCTTACCCTATGTAGTCTGAGCCGGAAAGAGAATTGATTAGTTAATCTCTCGAGTCTTCGGGTTTTCCGAGTCGTTCGTTCATCACGTGACAGCCCCATATGCTTACCCTATGTAGTCTGAGCCGGAAAGAGAATTGATTAGTTCTTTTTTTTTATTTAATTTAATTTTTTTATTGAAGATTACAGGGGATACAGTCATAGCAATAAAACACACACACCCAGAATACAAAACAATACAAAACATAAAGAATAATAAAAATGAAATATAAACACAACAAAAACAAATAAATAAAAAGTTAAACATCTTTTTTGTTTTTATAAACAAATCATAAATAAATTAAACTAAAAAATAACTTAAATGAAATATTACACATAAAATGTCAGCTTCAAAGAATACACAGGAGGTAACCCTTACATCAAAGTCAATATTTTTTCCATCAGTACAGTAGTTTTAGCAGCTTTCTTATTAAGTGATGAGCAGAGAGATTCAGAAAATCATTTCAAATCAATACAAAAAATCCTAAAATTGGGCATACAATCAGTAACTTTACATTTGTGAAGATGATATAAGAGTTAACAGTTTTAAGATATCATCCAGCTCCTTTGATCCTGATTCACTAAAAATAGTGCATTAATTACCTCAAAACTAAAAAGTTTGTTGTAAGCTGAGAAAACAAGCCAAGATATTTCTTTCCAAAAATCCTTTGCATTTACATTGTCATTTTGCAGACGCTTTTATCCAAAGCGACTTACAATTGGGGGATACATATAGCGATTCTTCTTAAAGATGCAAACAGATACAGGAAGTGCTTGTAATACCAAGTTTCTAGACATTGTTCAAATAAGTACAAGCTAGAAAGAGAAGGAATAAATAAAGAGAGATCTTTTT